GGTTATTGGCCGACTTATGAAGTAGAGTTATTGCGCCTTTTTGTTTAGGCAACTTTCGCTTTTAATTTCAAGCATCAGGTTCTACGATGACTGGGTCGAGCCCCCATGTATAAGACGGTAGAAAGGGATAAAAAGAAAGAAGTGGACGGTTGAACATTTATTTATTAGCGGGAAAATCATAGCCGGTTACATCTTAAAAACACCTCCTTCTCTCAGCCTATCTCCTCTCAGAAAAAGCGGGGAAAACTTGGTGGCAAGAGAGAGTTGAAACAGCAACCCATAGAGGGCGTTGCTGGCTGAAGTACATGTATGGAACACACACACACATATATATATAGATAAATAAAGAGAGAGAGTGGCTGCACTGCACCAGAAAGGGTAAAATATGTATTTTCTATTTATATTTCTTAACACCTGAAGAAGTAAATTTAAAAATATATAATTGTTCAAAATATTAAAATTTTGCGAAATCGCTATAAGAAAAATATTGCATATCGGCGCCCACTAGCATAACAAGCATATGAAACGTACTCTCGCACATGCATTAATGTATTATCACAAAAAAAAAAAAAAAAAAAAAAAAAAAAAATCCACGAATATTCATAACGAAATAAACTTTGACAAATACTATAATAAATTTATTGGCATATATTTCAATTTACTCAATATCATGGCGAAGCAAATCTGGTTTTGAAATTTTTAAATTAATATAATATTAAAAAAAACTTGTAAAAATATGTAAATCATTATTAAGTGAACTATACTTCGGTCGTAACAGGAAATTCAGGAAACTCTTTAAACTGCATCTAAGTTATATTTTCAGAATTCTCGTTAAAAAATTAAGTAAACAGAGTAAATCCGTTAGACATCTCAACTTAAGAATCGAACTTTGAAATTTGTCGAATCACTAATGAGAAAGGAGGAAAGAAAATCAAAACTAGTTTGATTGTCTGATGCAGTTTGAAAGTGTTTCCAATTATCATCTTTTAACTCCTTTCTATTAATATTTTAATGCACTTCTTCTTCACTAGTTATTTGTTAGATTTCGATAGTATTTTTATTTTTTTCCTCATTTAAATATTTAGTTGTAATCCTTAAAGCGTATATTTTCCCCTTCATTTTTAACAACGAAAGCTTGAACGGCTAAAATATCAAACATGCTTTGATGATTTTAATCCCGCCTTATTTAGACCACTAAGGAATATACCTTTTTTTGCCTTGTTTTCGAAGATTCAAAGAATTTAATAATAAGGACAGTAGCTCCTATGAAAATTGCTTGAAAATATTGAATAAGTAAAAGTTACCGGGAAAGAATGAGAACTATGCAAAATCTACCAATTACATTGTGAGTTTCTCAACTAAAAAAATTATGAAATTTTTTTATTATTATATGCAGTCTCTGGTCAAATTATTAGATGCACTATAAGACTATATGTAAAATCTTAACTATCAGGTCATACTATACAGTTTTATTGTTTTGACGCCACTCAAACCGGTTTGCACTTGCTTACGTTCGTGCATCAGTTGGCAAAATTGGGCGATATATAATATAAATTCGACGATTGGATAAATTAGACGATATATTATATAAATATTACGTATTTATTACGTCAAGTATTACATTATTATATTATAATAATTAGACCAAATTATTAGACGCACTGTAATGTTTTAATAATGACATGTTTTGCGCGAGTTTATATGCGAGACTTTTATATTTAAACATACATGTAATGGGTATTCATTCGAGAGATTTTTTTTATATACTTTCTATTTCTATTTATTTTTAACGTATTGCATTACAATGTTAACCAATTGTCAGTCGCGTAAAAACAATAGATCTGTATAGTATAACCTGATAATTAAAATTTTATATAGAATCTTATACTATGTCAATTAATTTGGCTAGGGACTGTATATGCATCTGAATATATTAAACAGATTTTTCAATAATATAAAACAAAAAATTTAATGATGTCGTCATCGCTATTTCTGTAAATTTTCACCGAGCGTGCATAACTATTTGATGAAACAATATGAAATTTTACACATTTTTAAAGGACGAAGGACATTGAAGAACATTCGGGTATCAAAAGGTTGTTGATGCGGTCATTAATTTTAAATTATTTTGTGTCAATGAAGAATTTTTCGCTTCGTAATTTAGTTTAGTAAAACACTATTAGCAGGATGATTTTTTTGGTTTTGCGTCAACAGCCTATCTTAGTCGCAATTCATCGTGGGCATAATTCGTCGTAAGCATAATTCGTTGCAGACGCGTCGTCGGAACATCTCGTTGTTGAGAATTTGTGGTTTTGATAAAATACACCCAGGTTATAAGGACAAAACTCTTGCACTGTCTATAAAAGCTAAGTAAATATTTTATTTATACCAGTTCAAAAATTACGAAAGTACCTAAGAGGGGAGGGTTTTGTTGTTGTAATTCATTTATGTCGCACTAGAGCTGCACAATGAGCTATTGTCGACGGTCTGGGACACATCCCTGAGGATGATCCGAAGACATGTCATCACAATTTTGATTCTCTGTAGAGGGCACTTCCGCTTCAGTAGCCCGACGACCTGCACGCGAAGTCGAGCACTTTACGGTAGAACAGTTTAACGAGGACCTATACCGCACACCCTCGGTCCCTACGCAGACTGATTCAAGTGGTCACCCACCCGCACACTGACCTTAGCCAGTGATGCTTGACTTCGGTGATCTGCTGGGAGCCGTGTCTTAATGAACAGACTGCGGGAGAGATTTGTTTATTGTTACATATAAGGGGGAGGAAATGCAATAAATTAAAAATGATTGTTGTCCTTAGCATAATAATTTTGTGAAAAAGATGTATATTGGTTGTGAAATATTTTTTATTTAGCATTTATCTTAGCTGAGAAAATATTTATTGTAACGTCTCAAGAAATATTTTACTTAATTGTATCAACACATTTTTCACAAGAAATGTCTGGATTAATGATTGGTTGAAAGACAAACTTGTCCAAATTGCAGTACACAACTGATTCGTTTATCTTGGGCTGGAAATTCGAACTTGCGAAAAAGTGTGGGAAAGTTGAACAGGCCTGTCCCATTTTTTATAACATTCTACGTGGCAAAATTGAAATTTTTTCATTTCAATGAGCCTGAGAAAGTGACATTAAAAATTTCAACTTCTAAACATTTTTTTTCACCTGTCTTGCACTTGCAACCATGTCGGCAAGATTTTTTTAGGATACTCTAAACACCAATTTTTGATAGAATTGCATTTTTACTTCAGAGTCATAAATCTCTGTGAAAAAATGAATGTGAGAAAATGAAACGAAGTTTTGAAAAACAGCCACTCGAAAAACAAAAAATAACATGCATGTTGGGATTGTACGTGACTGACTCACGTTCTTAACCTCCAGATACTCCAATTAACAATGAGAATTTATTTATTTTTTCATCCCGAAAAGGGATTCTGCTGGAGTATTTTTTCGAGTGACTGAAAGTCACTCGTAAAGACTATGCAAAATCGTCAATTTCGAGTGAACAAAAAATTAGTTGTACTTGCTTTATAATAATCTTATGTAAAACTGTGTCGTTTCAACATATACAATTAAAAAAAAAATATATTATTAAGAATTAACGCACCTTTTCTAAACAATATTTCTTTTTTTGACGAATACTTAATGAATTTTTAGAGTAAAATGAAATTTTAAAAACAAAATTCTAGATTAAATTTTAATGGTAAAATGATTAGGTTTAAATTTTATCCCAAAATAATTTGCAGCTGTGTTAATACAATTAAAAAATGCAGGAATCTTTTTATTCAATGCTTTTTTATTTAAAAATCTATTATAATAAAGAAATCGAAAGGACCATGTTGCTATCATGGGGTTGGCGAACGAAGCGAGCAATAGAAGAGCTTCCATTGTGTAAATGAGAACGGTATATTTGTTTGCCTGATTGCATCTAGGTAACGCTATCTCTTGACTAAAAAGGGTACAAAAATTCAACCAGTTCTTAACAAGTAATTAAAAATTAAATTGGGGAGAAGCAATTTATGTATGACGATAGAGCAGTGTCTTTTTTCATCCTGCCAGTCAATTTTGTACAGTTACATCATTCTTATTACCATATATTCAATAAAGATGCGCATTTTGTTTGATTAAAAAAAAAGTAAACCAGAAAATAATTTTATGTAAAAAATAATTTAATGTAAATAATTTTATGTTATGTTTTTATACTCTTATTATTTATGCCCTGATAGATTTTATATTCTTATTAATTATGCCAGGGATTTTTTACATTATTATTTATTCTCTGATGCGTTTGCTGATTTCTATGTCGAATTCACCACTCCCCTTACATAGATTTAATTTATTGGTTTAAGTCCCATGATATAGAAGTTTAAATTAGAAGTGTGCATTTAGCAATTTTCCTTACTTGTTTAATTTTCAATATTCATTTTAAAGGTACTTAAAAGAATAAACATATCAGGGAAAGCAAAATAATTCTGGTAAAATTCTTATCAAGTGGGATGGGGAAGGAAAGAATAAATAGAATAGTCTATGGTACAATAGATATTTGCATCAATGGTAATTGTTAAAAATATGAAATGAAATATTCTTAAATAATATTTTTTTTTCATAAATTGTAATGAAAAGAGTCTTATGGATCACACTCTTATTCATTGAAAATACATTCCTTTCCTTCTTTACAATGATCGGAATGAAATTGGAAACCCCATTCGTAACGTAACCCTTAACGTAACAGCTATAATGAAAAAATCCAGACCTTTTTAGAGAGTGTGTAAAAGTCGATGAAAGAAAGGAATTTATGAGCTCCAAAAATAAATCAGAAATGTTAAATAAAGCTGAAGTAGCCAAATCAAGTAAACATTAATAACGATTAAGCGATAACGATATTATCGATGATAAAATCAGCCAATAATTTTTTTAAATTTAATTAATAGCAGCGGCTGCTAAGCAACGTCCTTCCTATTTTGATTAATATCAGCTGAGGCTTAGAGAGCTGTAAACACGACTCAATATCAACACGCGACTGCTGGTTGCAGTTCAATTTCTGCTCATATCATAATAAAAATAAAAACCTTAAAACGATTCTGCATGTTCTTCAATTGTATAATAAACTAATTAAAAATATTTATAGTTGAACTATGGTAAAGGCCTGTTCGTTTCTGTTGCAATCATTTGATTTATTTTAATGTTATTTTTAATTGGTGTTTTTTCTTTCAGCATAAACTGAAATACTCCCAAAAAGAAAAAGTTAAGCAGTTTATTGCTTTTACACAAACTGGTGAAAAAACAGCTATTTATTGTCTTTCACAACATGATTGGAAATTAGACGTTGCGTCGGACAATTATTTTCAAAACCCTGAAGTGTATTTCCGGGAACAAAAAGTTTCAGTGGACAAAAAAAAGTTAGAAAACTTGTATTCCAAATATAAAGGTGAGATTATTTTTAGCTGTCTTGGAACAGCTAAAATTGGTGGGGGTTTCATTTGGGCACTTCTAAAATATATCAGCAAATTAATATAAAGGCTGATGGACGAAAGTTGTATGAGTAATTCTATCAGCTCTGATATTTAAATAATGTGTTATGTTTCATCCATTCTTGTTGAACTTGAATGAATGGGGTATTATAACTACATAAGAAAGTGTTTATTATAGAAATTATGATTTCCGATAGCTGCTTGAAAATCTTTATCTTAAATACTACAAGCTGCAGAGTAATAAATATGTATTCTACCATTCTCTTTGAGTGAATGTATTTTATGCAGTAATATCTGAAGGTTTGTGCAATAGTATTAAAAGAAACATAAAGAAAAGAAAATGTAGCGATTTTCAATCACTGATGATTTAAGCACTGGACAAATATAGGTGAGTTTTAACAGTATAAGAAATTAGATGGCTGTGTTTTTAAATTGAAATTCTTTTTCAATTTATTGCATATATTTTTTGGTAATTTGTCTCATTGAATACCTATTTATTTAATTGATATAAATGTTATAATACCTATTTATTTAATTGATATAAATGTTTCAATTGAGTCGTTTAAATGCAAAACCTGTTTACTGTACTTTTTGAAAGTTAACTCTATCAATATGTCAAGTATTTGCAATGAACTTATAAACTTTTCAATTACAAAGATAATAATTAATGAGCAAAATGTAGTATACTTGCAGTACCTCAAAACTTTTTTATGCTTATGGGAAGATTTTTGAATCAGTACTTGTGCTTAAATAATCGCCTAATTATTGTGATTTTTAGATTGTGGTTGGCGAGAAACTAAAACAAAATATCACAAGGGAACTAACTCAAAGAGCATGACTCGTATCTTCCAGTATCTATGATTCGTATCTCCAGATCTTTGTTTATATTTAAATTTTTTTTTAGCAAGTTTAAAATCTATTTGCCACCTTGTAATATGTGCAAACAGATACAGAAATATACCTCTCCGTATAGAGCTGGTAACAAAAATAATTTTTAATCTAACTTATTATTTTTTTTTGGCTAATTTTATTTACTTTACACATCACTGAGAGCTGTTATCTATTTAATAAACAAAGGTTGATAGCAACTGTGTAATTTTTCTTATAAACTAAGTAATAAAATACCAAAAGCAAAATACATGATGGATATTTTCAGAAACAGTTCCAATTTTGTTTTACTAGAATATCATGAGTGTTAATATATTTTAAAAATGTAAAATTTTCAGGGAAGTTTGAATTTTATAATATATAGTTTAGATTACATAGATAATACAGAGTAAGTTTGAAGAAGATGGCAAATTTTTATTGGGTGATAGAACGTATCAACATGAGCAATATTTCTTAGATGTTCGAGCCTCTGGATGGCATTGTAAATGGTAGGTATAAGATGTTTGGTCCTTGCATGCAATGGTAAAACGCTAGACTGAGAAATTTATTGGGTGGTCACTTTCTACTGGCCTCATTTTGCATTTGAAGTACTTCGTTGATTTTGCTTCTAAATTGTCATTATTTATCCGAATTTGACGTCTGGGTCCCTTACAAAATGAAAAGATCTTTGGGGTTTGCGATAGAGTAAGAGACGCAACTGGTGATGGAGTTTGTTAGAAGGGGTAAGAATTATTATTATTTACATGCCTTTATAAATATTACAGTCGGACCTGTTTATCTCGAATCTCACTGGAAAGGCAAAAAATTTGAGGTTTCGATATACAGGTACTTTAAAAGATTAAATTTAATTAAAAAGTTCTATTAAAAGTGCTTTAATTGTTTTTAGTAGAAAAATACAGGCATTTCTGTAAATTAATTATATCACATCTATTTAAATAAAAAAAATTTAAAATTTAATACTCATAATAATTTACTGAAATACTGATAAAACTCTAACCTTCTTTGTTTTGATAATTCTTTTAAGGTTAGAAGGAGCAGCAAGTCCCCTATAGCCAATATTTTCTTAGAATTCATAAAAGTTTATAAGAGTTCTACTGCTTCTTTTGCTCTCTAACTGTTTTCTACAGTTCACTTTAAAATTCCTAATTATCTTGTGATCTATTAGTTGCAATTTCTATTCTTAGCTTTCTTATCTATGTTGAAAAGCTAACCCTTGGTAGTCACTACTCATCAACCCCTCACTTTACTGCTAAAATTATTGTATTCTTTTCAAGTTAAGGAAGTGCAGGGATAGTGATCAAAATTCCAAGAAACACCCCCAACCTGTTTATATCTACTTCCTGTTGGTTCATGAAATTCATCTCTGTCTGCAAGTTCTATTGATAAAGAAAGTTATGTTATTTGGACATTTGTGCTCGACAGTGGCGTACGCAAGGGAGGGGTTTAGGGGTTTAAACACCCCCCTTGAGCTCAGACAAAATGGCAAAAATAAAAATTTTAGTAGAAATTATGCGAGCTATTATTTATTAAGACTATATATTTTTATTTGTCTTATGCCTACTTTTTTTTTCTCACGGCATTTCTCAGAATACTGAAAAAACATTTACTATAATAGGGTTGTACTTTTGAAACCAAATTCACGTGATACTGTTACGGACTGGTTCCCTTCTGTCCTGCCAGTATAGTTCTCGAGACTGGCTGTCATTCGCGAGGTCTTTACGTGATGATTCTGGAATCCTAGACGTTCTGTCGTGTTTGAGACAATTCGAGAATTTTGGAGATGCGGTGAAAAATTGCATAAAAGGCAGGGTTGGCAGGTTTTTGACATGTGACAGTTTTTGACAGTTTAAACCATAAACCTCACTGTCAAAAATGTCGAAAATGTCAAAAACCTATATTCATATGTGAAATTTAATTAATACATAAAATTTATATATTTTTTATAAAGGATAGTGTTTCTAAATATGTTCTAGAAAAAATAAATTTAAAATTTTGAAGAAACACTTATATTTTGAATAGTAACCAAAATCTTGTACTTTTGAAAGCTCACATCTTTTGTAATATTATGTATTCATTTTCATGTGTTATTGAAAATCTGCAGTGATATTATTAAGAAATTTATTTATAACCAAATTTAGTGTATAGTATAGATTATACTAAAAATTAGACATTTTTAAAGATAAACATTAGCAGTTTTGTACATTAGACATCTTTTAAAGAAAAATCTTTT